AATGTAGTTGAAATGTATTCTCACCATGCACGCTTTTCTCCGTCAGACCTGCAAATTAATGGGTATCCACTGAGCTGAGATTCAATGAAAGCCTAGGTCAGTACTATAAAATAATATACTCTTTCAAAGTTTTTGAAGGAGAAATGATTTATGTAAAAGAATACAACTACTGAGAATCTAAGTAGGAGATATTAAACAACCCAAGGGCTATTACTAGAGAACTGCTCCCAGGAGTTTCACTTCCATGGTTTCTGTCAGTTTAAGGGGGATTCTGATTCACTGCTATTTCACTAAAACCAATAAAAAGACAATTAATAAATTAGGGACTACGGAAGGAAACAAAAGAAACAGTATATACTCCACTATCTTTTTAAGAATAGATATTGTCAATAGAATGGCTAACTCTTACTACAGCATAAAAAGCAAATGTTTCTCAAAGGTCAAGAACAGATTTTTCATTTAATTTTGCCACTGCTATACTAACCAGTTGCCACCTCTGGTAACTAAAACACATCAATTACTATCTTTTAATTAATTCATAACAAATTCCAATCACATGATAGGATATATACTCAAATTAAAAGTTAGCTTCTAACAAAAGCCTAAGTAAATTAACTAATATTTTCAAAAAACTTATGGAGTACTACTAACTTGCATTCCTATATAAAGTTTTAATTTCTTTCTCTCTATTTTTTATTTTTTGCAGTACTGAGGAATGACTGCAGGGCCTCCGCATTGAGCTATATCCCAAATTCTTTTAATTTTTCTTTTAAGACAGGTTCTTACTATGTTCCTAACTCACCTATGCTAGCCTTAAAATATCTTCTTGCCTCAGTCTCCCAGAATGCTGGGATTACAGGTGGTAGAAGGCGTGGCTTAAACTGTACTGTTACAATAAGAAAATTATAGACCTACATCTAAATTAATTTAGATCTTCACAGAAATGACTTTATTCAATTGAATTTAATATTAGGCCATCATTTTATAGAAGTAAATTATATAAATGATTTTTTTACCTTCGTAATATCACCAATTGAAAATATTTATATTAAGCAATAAAAACTATCATCAGTATTTTAAAAGATTAGTTTTCTAAGGGTCCTTTAATAGTTCAAATTTTTAAATAATGAGTCATGCAATTTAAAGGACCTTATAATTTAAAACTTTTGTCTCCCTTTTCAAAATAATAGGTGTTTCGGACTCCCAAAGATGAATGACACTGCATGTGACTTCCTTTTCTTTTAGCTGCAAGGAAATGTAGTGATGAATATAGTGTTCAACTACAATAATTTTCTTAGCCAGTCATTATTTTTATGCTTCCTATTTGGCCTTTTTCATTTTTAATGACAAACGTGTATGTTTCACTGAGAGCAAATAAAAATGACTGGTGATCTAGACTACTGCTGTGTTAGCGAAGATTCTGCCTGAATTTGGCAGAGAAAGTACCCAAATGACAGTCCACATAGATGCTGAAAAGGGATGAGGCAGCATATCATCTTTTCCTAGGTCTATGTCATATGCTAAAGTGCTCAGTCTTTACTAATGAGGCATTTACAAATTAATTATAAAAGCCAGTCTGTAAAAGGTGAGATTTGAACTGACTTTACATGAGAGGCATTAATTGATAGAAAGGGTAAAGGCATTTCTTCTTTTTTTTGAGACAAGGTCTTGCTGTGTAGCCCAGGCTGGCCTTAAACTTGTGGATCCTCCTGCCTCAGCCTCCTGAGTGCTGGGATTTCAGGTACATTACTTAAGTGAGCATCTGAATGTGGATTAGGTTGGCTTATGTATAGAATCTACAAAATAAGAGAAATAAACCTAAAAAGATTACTGAAGAATTGTAGCTTCTAGGCAGGAAAATGGCACATGAATGATGGAAATCAATTCTTAGGGCTGCCTTACTACTAATATAGCAATATTGGACTTAAGGCAAAAGATCTAACAATCTTGGGTGAAAGACTATTGAAATAAGGATATTTATACAGTCCCCACTCAAGTCATCACTCCACAGATAGCTTATTAATGTTAGAATATCGCTTACATGACCTTTTAATTGAATTTACCTAGAATCAAACTTAAAATTACCAATAAAAGGCTGAAGTATTAGCATACAGCACATCACAGGATGTAATTATAAGCATATATATCTATGTAAGTACACATTATTTATGTATTCATGCCAAAAATATCTAACCTAAATATCTATAGAAAACAATCAGAAAAATCTAAATATTCAAACAACTAGTCTGAATACTTTTAATATATTTACTTTTGTTCTACATTAAAAGAGACTAAAGAGACATGACAATTAAATGCAATAAATGATCCTGTATGAGATTCTAGATTGAGGTTAAAAAATTATAAAGTACATTACTGGAACAACTGAAGACATTTGAGAATGTGCTACATGTATTATATAACAGTACTGTATGAGTGTTAAAGTTCTCAACTGTAACAACCACATTATGAATATATAGGATAATGCCATTTACTTGAAGGCTACTGTTAAAATATCATGATTTCGGTACAGCAACTAACTTTCAAATTGTCTAGAAAATAATTATGTGTAAAAATAGGAAAATTATATGCATATGTACTTGCAGAGGTAGATGAATATATGTGTATGTATGGAGAGGGAGTTTAGAAATGTGGCCAAGGGCTGGAGCTGAGCGGCAGAGTGCCTGCCTAGAATGTGTGAGGCCCTGGGTGGCTGTAACCCCAACAATGGAAAAAAAAACAGCAAAACACAGACAAACCTAGCTGAAGAATACACAAATTTTTGTTCTACTATCTTATAGTTTTCCTCATCTTAAAGATACTATTTTGGGTCATATCTCACAGACTATAGATGTGTACACTAAAAGCAAAGATATTTATTTTACATGTACATTCAACTAGAATGTAGCAAGTGAATAACTAAAGCTCCTATAACTTTGTCTTCTAGTCTAGTACTCTTACGACTATCTTATAGGGCTTTAGCCTAATCACAGGATAAATCATAAGAAATACCCAGGAGTAAGAAACTCAGTACCAGGGAAGATGTTCTAAAACATCTCAGCAGCAAACCTGAATTAAGGTTACCTGTAGATATAGAAAAGAGGGGACAAAATGAAAGAACAACAAGCAAGAACAATAGAGACTTACTGATTTATGAAGAGAGTTGTTTTAGCAGCAATTCTTTATTTATTTATTTTGTCTTTTGGAGACAGAGTCTTACTATGCAGTTCAGGCTGGCCTTGAGCTCACTTTGTAGCCCAGGCTGGTCTTGAACTTGCAATGATCCTCCTGCCTCAGCCTCCCAAGTGCTGGAATTACAGGCGTGTGCCACCACACCCGGCTAGCAATAATTCTTAAACATATAAGCTAAAGAGATAAAAAAAAAAAAACTACCAGCAATAATAAAAGAAAAATTGGAATAATACAGTATTTAGGATATAAATTTAGTTTGAAATATGTACATTTCAACTGTAACATAACAGAATGAAAACTATATTAGAATATAAAATTAAGGAAGGCAAGAATTTTTGTCTTTTTTGTCTACTGATACAACTCCAAGTGACTTGTACAGTACTTGGCAATGAACATTTGTTGAACAAATGAAGTGCTTGTGAGTCATCAATGCATAGATATACAGGAAAGAGAAATATAAAATTTACAGGCTGGTCTGAAGAGATACTTTGTAAATCTATAGGAAACCAGACATATATAATTAAGGTTTCCATCTTCTTCCAGGCTAGATTACAGAGACCTCTATTTGGGGTTTTGAGAATAAGCCTTAAATTGTCTTTCTGATTTTCTATCATTTCCTTTACATGCTATGAGGAAACTTCTATGGAAAGTGGGCTAGCCATGGTCATGTATCATTCAGTACCACCAAAACTCATGATTATTCCTAACAGATTTAGTTAGCTAAAGAAAGCTCAGGTATGGTCCCAGGGTAGCACCTCAGTGTCATCAGGTAGCCTGTCAGCAATGCAGATTCCCAGGTTTCACCCACAACTAGCAAAACTATACAAGAGCTGTCTGTGTTTCTAGGAGCCTTCCAGGCGATTCTAAAACACTGAAGAACAAAATAATTTGAAAGTAGTAAGCACTTCTTTGACAAACTACCTTATAGTCTAAGTCATTCTTTCTGAGATGCAGTTGAAGATTTACAGATCCAATTATATAAAATGGTATTTGTAATAAAATTTAGTGTAACATATCCTATAGTTACAATTCATCATCTAGAAATCAGACACAAAAATCAACCTAAAATGAAAGTATTTTTATAAATAAGTAATATGTGGTACATATATAAAATGGAATTCTACTTAGTTGTTAAAAAACATCCTGTCATTGGCAAAAACATGGATGCAACTGAAGATTAATCAATACGTTAAACAGCAAAAACAAGAGAAAAGACCATTTGGGGCTTATGCTCAAAACCTGGTATGATTTCAGTTACGCATGGAATCTACGAACGGTGATGGCACAGAAGCTGAGAGTAGCATGGTTACAAGAGGCTGAGGAGAGTGCAGCGAGGACACAGGGTAGTTGATCAATGGGTACTAAATTATAGTTAGGAGACAGAAGTTTTGCTGTACTACTGTACAGCATGGTAATTACAGATAACCGTTATTTACTATATATTTTAAAAAGGCAACAGAAAGACTACTGAAGTATGTGACCATAAAGAATGGGTAAGTGCGTGAAGAGACTGATGTTTATCCTGATAAAATTACACAATTGTATACACATATTAAAACACTTATATCCCTATTAAATTTTTATGCACTATTTTAAAAATAAATTTAACCTTAATATCTTTTTTTTTTGAGACAGGGTTTCGTTATGTAGTCCAAGCTGGCCTTGAACTCACTGTGTCACCCAGCCTGACCTCAAACTTACACGAACTTCCTGCCTGAGCCTCCAGAGTGCCAAGATTGCAAGCATGTGCCACGATACACAGCTAAAAAAAATTTAAAGTTTTCTTTAAAACTTTAAATTTCAAAACTTACTTTAATGTTTCAGCAAGAAAGAAGCTCTGCTGTACATCATCGTGTGTAGGAGTAGCGGAATATACATCTTTGACCCCAGAAAACCCACCACTGACTCGGCAATACTTTTCAATAGCCTATAAAAGAGAACAGACAAAACAATCAATTCTATGGATTTCGAGTTTTGAAGGACAAGAATCACAATCAAAAGTTCATAGTAATTTGTATGAAAACTTGACTGAAGAATAATATAGTAGTTATTCTTAAGGATAATATAGTATCAAAGAAAATACAGACATTCCTCATTTAAAGACCAAGCTTCAGTCCTATGACTACATCATTAAATTAACTGGTCACTAAATGAGGAATTGTCTATAGTATGTACAATATACAGAACAAAGATGGTCAAAGGAAACTAAATGTGATGACTTTGCTTTTGTTACTCTTACATGCAGTACTATAATGTATAACAAAACATAAAACTATAGTACAAGCCGCAAACATTACAGTACTGTGTAAACAAGATATACTGTACAAAAAAAGACACTGAGGCTTTATAAACAATATGTGTAGAATGGTACAAAAAAAAGCTTGAAAATCTGAGTGGTAGGTCATAAGTCTGAACAGTTGTTAAACAGGGAGGTTGTTACATGAGGAATATCAGTACTCTCACTGAAAAATGAACTTATGTTGGTGTTTTTCTTCCTAATAAAACTCATCTTTCTATGATATGTGTCTAATTTAGATCATTCTTTCTGAACTAGGTACCTCTCAGGTATAATAAAACCTTAGTAATCCTCACAAGTCAAGACAGAGATCTGCTTGAGTTAAAAATCTGATTTTAATTTTATCCTTTCCAAGGACAAATAATAATCTACAGCATTCCAAAAAACATTACTTAGGAGCTCTCTGCAGTTGCAGTAGTAAGAGATAATATTTACCGTAAACATACTCTATGGCAGATATTGTACTGCCATAATCCTATGAGCCAGGGACTATAGGTGATACCAAGCATCAGGAAGAGCCCATCTACCTACCTGCTACATAATTACAATGTAAGAGTTAACAATTCTGATACATTTACTGTGCTGAAAGCTATTTTAAGAGCTTATGTGAACTAAAATCTACATTTTACAGCAATTCTATGAGGTTAATAACCACTTCTCAGATGGAAAATTGAGCAGGGTAATTTGTTCCACATTATGAACTGCTGTGCTCTACTGCTTGAATGGGAGTTAAAAAATTTTAATTTATATTTCCTGTTTTATCTTTGGATATGCTAAATAAAACATACTGAAACAAATGCAATCTATTCACACCCTATTTCAAACTCAAAGAAACCAAATATTTTGCTTACCATTAAAATTAAACCATTCATGAAAAGTTAAAGACATTTGTAATTCTTTCTCTATTCTCCCTAACCCTGAGACATGGCCCAAGAAAAGGATGCTTATTTAACTAATCATTCTGCCATGGTTTCTTGTTTCTTACTTTTCTCTTCTGATTGTCTTTTCTAATGAAAATCTAATTAACACTGATATGTGTTCAATCAAACTTGATTTTATAGCTAGGTTCTAAAGCATTCTTATCAAAAATACGCATCTCAACATGGTTGTAATGGTTGATACACTGTATCAACTTAAGAAGTTGAGAAGTTTAACTAAGCAAATCAGCAGGGGGCCTTCACTGTGTAAACATCCTCATCCTGTGCAAGAGGAAAGCACAGAGAAGCCAGGATACAATATAAGGAAGGAAAAGAGGCTTGGTCTCCAGCCTTTTGTATTTTGCTGCCCTGAAGTATTGCCCCTCTGCCATGTGCCACCCCTGCCTTGGAGCCAGCTAATTATGGACTGAAACCTCCACAAACTGTGAGCTAAATAAACCTTTCCTTTCTTAACTTTGGGTGTCGGGTATTTTGTGAGAGAAAAGTAACCAAGACAATATTCAATATATTGTGAATGCAAAATTTTTTACCTGCTGTTCTTAATGATGTCTTCACCACCACATGAACTATCAGAACAGAGAATGTAGCATAGAGACAATCAATCTTCAAGTCATTTTGATCATGTCTTAAGGACAAGATTCTATGCTTAGTACACTCAATTTTGGAAGTCTGCATATGTAAATGCCATAGCTAAGGCTACAGAAGAGATGATATATCACAACTGTTTTACCCTTGCTTCCCTTTACTTTCTTCAAACCCAACAGAGGCCAATGGTGACACCCAAACAAATTATACTTATGACACAAGGTCTCGCATGTCATACTTTCCAAACTTAAATTTAGAACGTAATTACTTCTGTACCTATTCTTGTCAGCTTATACTTTGAGTCTGTGTGTGTCTACACAGTCTGTAAAGCCAATTTTCCAACTCCTATCCGTAACATTTAGACCAAGAGGGGCTACAGTTTGCATTTATCAAACCTGTTCTTAACAGGTAAGAGTAGGGGCATATTTTAGGAGAAAGTATGTAGCAGAAAAAAAGTAAGAAAAACATTAATTGTCCTATAATGTTTTTCAATGATAAAATGTGCATCTATTACCTTCAATAATTCCTATCCTATGAGATTCAAATGTATATCCCTCATTCCTTTAAATGAAAACCATTAAATATCAGGACATTCAAGTCAAACAGACTCATTAGAAGATTCCATTATATATCTATTTCTCTTACACAAAATATTACTTAGTTTATGTAAATATTAGTAGCCCACTGATAACAACACCTGCATGCATGTTTCTTATTCCCACACCACTATGGCAACAGTTTGGCTGTCTTTTTAACTGCAGCAGAATCTTGCTGCATAATTTCACTAGCAGCTGTTTTCTCAACTTTAACCTCAAGGGACCAAGGAAAAACAGCATCAAAAATCACTGTATCTGTTCCTATTCTGTGTAACCACCTTGCTTCTATTACTACTCTCCTGTAGTTCAAGTCCATAAGAGTTAAGGTCTGAATGACAAAGGACATGCAAGTGTTAAAGATATCACATTACTCCTAGCTTATTGAGGTAATCTCCAAAACTCACCAATTTGTATACTATAAATAGATCCTTTTCCCACTGAACAAAGCCTTCAGTAGTTCCTTCCCCTTTGAAAAACTTTTAGCATTTCTGTAACAGATTCTCAAAGTAAGGAAGGAAATGGAAAGGAGAAAAAGAAAAGATCTGAAGAGCTTTGATATAAAGTCTATCATCACTTTCTACAGGAAAGTAGGCAACATTTTAGTTATCTTTCTCTCGTGGCTGGGACAAAATACCCGACACCCAATGCAAAAGAGGGACAGGTTTATTTAGCTAGTTTGTAAATGTTTCAGTCCACACTGGCTGGCTCCACAGCAGGCTGGCACATGGCAGAGGGGCAACAATTCATGGTAGCAGAAGACAGCAAAAGCAACATAAAAGGGGGAAACAAGTCTCTTCCTGCCCATTTTATCATATTCAGCCTACTGGGACTAAGGCGATGCCAATCCAATTAGTGGACTGATCCAGCAATCACTCACCCTTAATCCCAGCATGCTTAATCTCAGTATTGCACTTCAAATCAGTCACAAACTCTAGAATCAGCTATCCCCCAAAAGCCCCATCTAAAAGTACCTGAGGCTTTGGGGGTCATCCAGACACAAACCGTAACAGGTAATAACTGATACAAGTTTCTGAGGAGTGTGTATTGGTGAAGCATAGTGTGCATGTACATGTCTATGCTGTTTCATTTCTGAACAGCTAAGTAAAATAAATACCCTTGACTTGATATATAAGGCTGTCCTGTAATGGATGCAACTTTGCCACTGTGAAACATTTCCTTTATATAAACTGGTATATATGCTGCCCTAAAACATACTTTTGTACATTCTTATCTGGACAATTTATTTTGCCGGTGATATCTTTTTTTTTTTTTGGTTTTTTTCTCCGGTACCGGGAACCGAACTCACGACCTTGCACTTGCCAGGCAGGCGCTTTGCCGCTGAGCTAAATCCCCAGCCCCATGCCGGTGATATCTTTAATCACTGTATCTAAACTGAAAGCATAAATTAAGCACTTTGAATATGAATATTCATAATTAGTACAATTTACCCTAACTAGGAAATCTGAGAAAGTAAAATACTCCCCAGGAATAAGCTATATTTTCACAAAATACTAATAGTTTTTTTCCTCTCCAAGAGCTGACAGCCAAGGAATTCCTAAACAGCTAGCTTCCATTACTTACTAACCCTTAAAAAATCCCTAATTCCAAATGTGTGTACATTTTGTCTTTCATTCCAGAACAGTTTCACAGTTTTCTGATTCTTCTTACAAGGTGAGTGAACACAGGGCACCTACCCAGGGTAATTTTTTTCTCCAATAGTTAGGGGTTAAGAAAATAGTTTAGAAGCAAGGCATAAGGGTGCATGCCTATAATCCTAGCTCTTTGGGAAGGGAAGGCAGGAGGATCTCAAGTTGAAAGCCCATACTGGGCAATTTAGTAACTCTATGAAATCCTGTTTCAAAATCTGAAAAGGGCTGGGCATACAGCTCCTGCCCTAAGACTCTAGGTTCAATCTCCAATACTGCTAAATAAATAAAAATATGTATAGAAAAGCAAACTACTTATTTGTATAACTGCACTAAAAATTGCCTTTTAAGAAACTATAGCTATTCAGTAAGAGAGAGGGAATAGTACTAGAAAGTATTTCTAAATGGAGAACCAAACAGGATTCCAAGGTTCATTTTTACTGTTCAAAAAACTTAAACTGAGTAATAGTTTCTTCATCAGAGAAATGAAAACTGTTCCTTCAAAGTGAAGGAACATGGATGAAGATACATGGCATTATGGGAGGGCTTGATTTAATATTCCTGCAGATAAAAAGACATATTGGCTTATTTACCAGGGCTGCTTCCCATCCCCACTGCCTGTATCTTGGATCATGAGTGAATCGCCACAGGTACCAATAGGTTTCAATTACTTCTGGACGGAGGATGTAATATTTCTCAGCCTGCCGGACAGCTACAGCTTCCACGGCACCATCAAACTTGAATGATTCAGGACCTAGTTTTAATGCTGCAACATGACAAAAGAAACCAGTAAATAAAACAGACTATTTGTATTTGTTTGCAAAAGCTAACCCCCTGAAAGAATGAGGTATTAAACAATTTTTGTTGTTTTATTTTTATTGTCCCTGCTCTACAAAATGAGTCTATTTAAAACATCCTCCCAGCAATGCCATTATGAAATGTGAATGTTGGAACAATAACAGAATCCTTTTATGCCTTCAGCATACTACGAATTTCTTAGGAATATATTTTTTAACACTTTCACCTGTAAGCATTCAACATAACTACAGCATATAATACGTCCATGTTTAATGGAATAAATGATTAATTATAACAATTATACTATGTTTATATTTTGGTATGTCTGTCACATTAAATTTGTATTGTTTTAGATCTGTTTTTTGATACATGGTCAAAATCTATATAACAACAAACCTAATTATCATGGGCCCTAATATAAACACTACATATCCATTCTGGTCCTCAATGCTTTACTAATTTTAACTAAGTTTTTATATATATAAATGATACTTTGCATCATCAACATGATAATTTATAGTTCCTATTAATAACGCAGATCACTGACTTTATCTCTATCAGATACCAACATTAAATTACCCTAAAAAAACTTCACCTCAGAGTTCATTTGACTTACATTTTTTTAAAGAGATATAACCATTGATATAGTTAACGAGAAAACCAAAGGTCAATTTCATCCAAAGTTCAATTCCTTACTACATAAAAATTTGACAGATTTTTGAATTAGAATAAACTCTTATTAAACTAAGCATTATTTGTGTCACAGTACCTAAGAACAAATTAACCCTGAAAGAGAGATTCAGTTATTTCAAAAAAGGAACAAGTGCTGAAAACACATAAATTAATGCCTCTTAAGATTTCAGGGAACTCGTTACTCATTGTATAATACAGAAATAGCCATTTGTAAAGACAGAGAAATCCATGAACAGTCTAGTCCAGTGTTGCACTCTTTTCTCATCACTGTACCTCTAGTGAATCCCTTTAGGCTTTTAAAAATAAATCTAATCACCTTCTTTTTCCATGAAATTTTGATAACACATATACAAGGAATATCTATTAGACTGTATGCATATCTATCTTTTAAAAATAAAGACTAGATAGACTGGCTTTAGCCTAGCAGTTCCTTCTGGATGGCTACTTAAAGAGCAGAATTTTTTTCATATCCCAGGAATCAATTTTTGTCACCATTAAGAACAATTTCATTTTCCAGGTAAACATAAATGAAGTTCAGAACATATTATCTATTTTCTAAAGACACTGTCAGAGGATCTTTTTTAGCGATGGTTACAAACAACTCTAAGAGTTATTAGTGAATTAAGCAAAAGATGAACTACCAATTAGCTAGATAACCACTGTTATCTTTTGGTTATTCTTGTTTTCACAAGAGTACAACAAAGACAATGAATGTAACCTAAGTCAGTCAATTTTGTGTTCTTTTAAGTAACTGGCTTGATAGAAACTGATATGAATGGCTAAAAATGATTATTTTATTAAAATAGTGCTATTCCATACATCTCTAAATAATCTACCTCTTGTCTTTAAGACAATTACTTCTAAATCATTAAAAAAAAAAGGCAGCAGAGTTCACAATTTCTGCAATGATGAAGGACCTGGGTGTGGTGGTACATGACAGTGATCCAAGCACTTCAGGAAGCGGAAGCAAGGAGGATCACAAATCTGAGTCCAGACTGGGCAAATTAAGAGATCTGCCTCAAAATTAATTTTTTTTTTAAGGGTTGGGAATGTAGCTCAGTGAGAAGGCCCTGGTTTTAATCAATCCCTAGTACCATTTAAGAAAGAAAAAAAATACATAGACCCAAAAATACATTTCTGAAGTTAAAATTCTTAAATGATTCACGGTGATAGTGTAACTATTTTGAAGTGAAAAGTACTTATATATTTACTTCTTAACCCCTAGTCACATTTTTACAAGTAGAAATTATTTTTACTAAGTCATTAGCCTTATTACTCTTACCAGTCCTGTCATATGACTCATGACATGTACGCGCAATCTCTGCCCCTAGCTCTAAATAATGACCAGCTTTATCTTTTCTGGAACCATCTGCTCCTAGTGCAAACATTCCACCAGCAAAACAGGCCAAATGCCCCATCTTCTTTTCTAAGTGCCCATTCTTCCATTCTCCAATGAAGACAAGACCTCCTTTGGACTTCTTAACAAGATGTTTTTCTATAGCCTACAAGCAAGAGAAGATATTTAAAATTTTAGAAGAAAACTACTAGTGTTCAAACATTATTTCTAGCTGTCACAAAAACTTAGTAATATCCTGTAAAATAGTTACTTTCTCAAACTGGGAGACTTAATTTACAATAAGAAAGTTTTGGAATGAGTGATCAAATTGTACACAACCAAAAGAAATACCCCAACCACTACTCTAATGGGAAAGCAGAGTCTTGGCATAGAGTATCATTCTACATAATATCATCCATTACAGCCTTTGTCCATTTGAAATTTATAATCAGTCAACTAAGATCATGTCAGGAAGTTGTAAGACAAAGTCTTCACTAATTCATTTTCTATTTCATACAACAAAAATATGAACAGGAAGAATAGCCATGTCAATAGGGTATTATTTTCAATAAATAGTTGAAATTGTTCTTCATTTTCCATGTAAATATGGTAGCTGGCAAAGTACTTAAAAAGGCACCATTTAAAAAGGTTAGCCACCTTACACATTATAAAACTTTCAAAACTAATTAAAAGTTAAATATTTATTCCTTAACTCCCTCCTCCTTTACTTGTCAAATGAAGACATTTGCTTTGGATGCTACTACATGAGTAAGAGGGACCATGTCAATTTTATTAATGAAGACACAGGGACAGTAAAGGACGTATTTTACATTGAATTTGAATGTAACAAAAAGTGGAATATAAGAATTAGAGTTCATTTTAAAACTTAGATTTCTTTAACAGCTTTGTTTCTTTGGCTTATGATTTCAGGCTCTGCTAGGGGAGTATGAATCAATTCTCTGTATTTGAGGTATTTCTATGGAAAAGTATAAGAAACTGTATTAATTCAGTTCTCTTTGGTAGAAATTATCATACAAGCTTAGTGACTACAATTTTCTTTCTGATAGTGAAGTGGAGTATTTCTTTCAAGAGTCAATCCACACTTTTCTTTTTATTGGAGGTTGCTCTCCGACAAACTCAGTAACAACGAACTTTGGATAGATTCTATATTCTCCAGAATGATACGTTTTACAGAATTGTAGGGACCATGTCTTATTTATCACCTTATACTCCAGAAGATTTATTATGTACCATGCATTCAATAAATTAATTATAAAATTTCATAAATCTATAGTGTTCTTAGATAACTGTATTTCACTTATAAGGGGAATGGGAGATAGCTGATAACCAAATGACAAGAGATCACCATTGAATTTTAAGTTTTTGTTGTCGTTTTCTTTTACCCATAATACTCTGAAGCACATATAAAAAAATGAGTTTCTTTAGTCGGGACACAATAATGTTTTTCATTCTTGTGAACTTAATTAAAGTACTCAAAAACTGCCTAAAGAATAATATCCATGGTTTTGTCATACATTTCCATATAATACTTTTATTATTTTGTAGTTTTGCTCATAACAAAAATATTAGCATATTATAATTAACAGGTACCCACGCACATTGTCAGAAACTTACTAGGACTAAGGTAAACAGCAGGTAATGAGAGGGCTTTTACCAGCAATTTACTTTTGAACTCTTGAAATTGCTCATATGGGTCTCTTCCGTCAAAACTATGACAAATACCTAAGAATGCAACTTATTTAAAACTGTTGAATGTTAAGAAGTAGTAACAATCTTTAACTGAAATCTTCACTAATACTGACATTGTTTTCTTGCTCCAAAAGCATCTCTAAAAAGGTTTATTTCTGTGTACTATTTAAAAAATTAAGACTAAACATAGATTTCATCAAAACATAAAACCTACAACTAAGAAAAACAAAAAGGAACCATGGATATAAAAATCTGAAAGGGTAGAGGAGCAGGATACAGATGGCAATAATTTAAGCAGAATAGCTCAAAGGCAAATTTTAAATATGATTTATTTCAAATTAGAATGAATTGTAAGTAGCCATTCCTAGTTCATCTACGTATTCAATATGCTCTTTATTTTGCATTTTGTTCATACTGTTTCTTAACAGAATGGTTATTGAAGATAAATTAGCATTACAAAAATTGCATACAAGAGATCATGCTTCAAAATTAAAGTTAATCAATTATTATTGAAAATATTTAGTTCAGTAGGACTTATTAGTAAAAACAGGGTGCATAAAATAAATTTTAAGATTTACATGACTCAAAGCTTATATAGCAGATAATTCATGGAAAATAATTTTAAATTATAAGATTAACCTTCAGAATAGTATCATACTTTTCAAAACACACACAATTAGAAAAGCAGTAACAAATGCAGAATAATCTCATTTTTCTTTTCACAAAAATTAAATAAAAGAATAGTTCTAAATTAAGACTATTATAGAAAAGCACCGAACTATGAAGGAAAATTGACTATGGTATACTGACACGTGATACTTGCTCAACAGTAAAAGCAATAAATATAACTGATTTACTAATACCCATTAGTATTTGGTTTTGGAACTTGTGTTAAGGGCTGGGACAAAGACACATTAATCTCTGCCTTCAATGAAGTCCAAAGTCTAATGGAAATGATTAGGGCTATTTTCAATCCCACATTTCTAAGAATATTCTTAGGTAATTTTGCCTAGATAATGACCTTTTGTGGATTATAAACATTTCTAGGTTTAAATTTTAACAACAATGAAAACTCTCCAAATTTTCAAAATTTAAGACTTTATAAAAAATTTTTAGAAATTCTGATCCTTGATTATACCTTAATTTTATTAGTTAACACAACCACTCCAAATAGTTACTGAGCAACACGTGCAAAGCACTATGGGCCACAAAGTCTAATTTTCACGCAGTTTAAAAAACAAACATTATGTTTTAAAAACTGTGATTAGGACTCTAAAAACGTAAGTATATAAAAGGTAATAATTTAATTTAAAAACATAATGCTGAAAACTGATTACTGACTATATTAAAATGGTACTGTTATACAAATACAGCAAAGGAATAATTAAATTCATCAAGAAGATACGGATTTATATTGAATCAGGGAAACTAAAATTTACCAAATTGTTAACATACTTTCTCTTTCATGGTTTTTGTCTAGAACCCTAGAATGACTCTTGGGACAAGTTTAAGCTGTCACAAACTGTGATATGAGGCTATATAGACACAAAACAATGAAATACTGTGGTTAAGGGAGCAAGCTCTGCCATCCAGACAGTTCAGTTCCTGGACCCATCATTCACCAGCTAAGTGACCTTCAACAAATTACTTAACCTCATTGCACATTAAGGTTTTACGTGAAAAGTGGTGATAATGATCATGTGATCTCATGTATGCAATGAGGGTTAGAACTGTGTGTGCTACATGGAATTGGGTTCCATTATTATTTACTCACAAGGTTCTCAATATATAGGTTCAAATGAGCATTTGAAAGACAAAATGTTTGTAAAACTGTATGTAAAGTCTGAGATTTCCCCAGTTTCTGTAGATATTAACTAAAATAATTTTCATAAATATATTAACTCTTCCTTCAATAATCTCTTTAAAATGTCACAAATAAAAGAAAATGCAATATAAAGATTATCTACTAAAACAGATACAAACTCTACAGTGAATCTAATAAAATCCTTATATATAACATGTATTTCCTGAATGAATACAACAAAATGATTACATTTGTCTAGCCACTATCAATAATTACATATTCAGTATGTTAAGTAGGAAAATATTCTGACAATAATTACCTCAATAGCATCATCATACATCCTTCTTGCCTCATGGTCTGTTTTATCTGACATCAACCATGCTTTCAGTAAATATTCATAAAAACTGTCCCCTAGACCACCAACTGATGTGTGATCTGAAACAAAAGAGAAAAGAGAAGGATACAGATGCAGGAAAGAAAAGGCAGAAGACAATTAGTAAAATAGTATTTCAATTATAATGACTATATTACAGGTCAGTAATTTTAAAATTATGCTGATATCCCCATTTCCAAAACATTTCAAATTTAGTTCTGTACATCATAACTATTTTCTGTACACATGTACCAAATATTCTAGAAAATTTCCTTTGGATGTGAAATTTTGTATATTTAGTAGTCTTTTTCTTCAATCACATAGTTTTTACACTATCATACAACTAAGCTTTTCCATAATTGAAAGTGCTTTTTATATTTCAATGGCATTAGATATATAATTAAATACAAGAGGTACACTTAAATCTGATTTAACCCACAGGGCTTATGCAAAAATTTTCTATATGATGGATAATGATGATTCCAGGGCCACAGACAGCAAATCCAAATAAATCTTTTTTTAAAAGCTCACAATTTTCTTTAATGCCATTTTACATCATATAAGCAGCTACTAACTTGCTGTGCTTCTTATTTACAGAATCTTACACATATTTGTTTGCGTTATGTATATCCTTATTCCATGTCACCCATACATTTAATACTAACCAATTTATCACTACAGTACCCATGGGAACCACACTTTCACCCCTTTCTAGAAAACCTCTACATTCTTGAACTTTGTCTTAAAATTCACGGATCCCATTCATATGAAAAGAAAACACACTTCCTATAACCTTTAACCTCTCCTGTTATTATTACCGATTTTTCAAATTGTAAGGGAAGGATGGACTATTCAGTGGTTTATGAGAAAAACCGTTAGCTATTAAGGGAAAATGCACATTAATGTTTACATTTTAAGCTAACAAAATAAATTCATGAATAATAGTTTAAAACTACATGTAAACCAGGAGAAAATATAAAAACACACCTGATTTTCCTAGAAATGATCATAAGCAAAATACAAAATGAAAGCACCATAAAGGTAAAGTTTATACTTTTATAATCTGTAACATACTATATATACATATATATATATAATATACATATTAAGAAATAAATTGGGAGGAGGTATTTGCAACACACATAACAGGAAAAAGACTAATGCCCAAAACAAAGATCTTTGAGTGGGAAATACAAAAGGAACAAAAAAGTAAACAAGTCAATTATTTTTGCAGTACTAAGAATTAAACCCAGGACTGAGCTATATCCCTAGTCCTTAGGCATGCACTACCACACCTGGTTTCAATACTTTACATAAGAAAGGCTGTTCAATTCCACAAGTGATCAAAGAAAAGAAACTTTTAAAAATGATATTCCATTGCTATCTATGAGATCTGCAAACATTTTAAAAAGCTGGTAACATCTAATAAAGTATATGATACACAGTTGCTTGAGCTGAAGGGTAAATTTCTAGCAGCTAACAAAATTTACCTAGAAATCCTAGCTGTGAAGTTATCTGTAATAATATAGGAAACCACAAATACAGATGCTTTTTAAATGCTTATCACAGAGTTGCTTGCATTAGTAAAAAATTAAACATAACCTGAAATGTCTCGCGAAGATGTTAAATATATTATAATATAAACATAATATATGGGCCGGGGTATAGCTCAGTGGCATAAGCACCTGCCTGGCAAATGCAAGGTCCTGAGTTCAATTCCTGGTACACAAAACAAAACAAAACATAATGTAGCAGAAAATGCCCCTCACCTAGCCAATATTCTTCAGTTTGTTAGTTGTTCAAGTGATAGTTCCTGTTCCACTTCTGCTTGCTCCTGTCTCTTAGAAACGGCTGGTCACTGTGATGCACACTGTATAAACCAATCCCCAGATGACAAGCCATTCTGCCTCTGCACTTCCTGCTTGCTTACATCATATAAGCCCTAGACCACCAGAGGGCAGGGCCTGATATTCTGGGAATGATCCTGATCAGTGCCTGTCTACGTAAATAAATCTGCCTCCAAATCCTGGGTGTTGTTCTGGTGTTTCTGCTTGACCTTGCAATACTATAGAGGGCTATGCAACATTAAATGGAATCAGGGGGATTAGTAATCTAACACTGAAAGGTATGTATTTGTATGTCGTTGGGTGGAAAAGGGAGGAAGTTAATAATAATGTAGTTTGATCCTACTAAAAATTTGTATGTTTAAAGACTATTACTGCACATACAGGAAGGATTTGAAAAGGCAACTACAGGCCAGGGATATAGCTCAGTAGCATAAGTGCCTGTCTGGCAAGCACAGGGTCCTGAGTTGAATTCTCGGTACAAAAAAAAAAAAGAAAAGAAAAAGAAAAGGCAACTGCTAACAACTGCTAACAGTAAGGAGTCCTTAAATTTTCACTTTATATACTTAAATACAGTACCCACATACATTTAAATTTATGTAATTAAAAATCATCTTTTGTTGTAGATAGTAGTAAATGGGAGAAAAGGGCTATCATTTATCTTAATGTCTACTAATACATTTATCTTAATGTCTGCTAATACTCCAATAAGTCAAGTGTACCTTAAATAATCATCTCCTCAAATTCATGTCTCTGACTTATTTTTTTCTGTCATAAGTGTACATATCAACTAAAAGTTCATCTGGTGTGGTCTCAGACTCTACATTCAACTGCCAAATATAATCCTTTTTCTGAGCTCTCTTATTTTACAACTCTTCTGTAAGATTTTGAAATTCACTCAAAATGGTCATTTATTTTTAAGTGAGAATTGCTAGCTTAAGCTGTTGTTTCCTGTTTAAGTGTGTAGAGGAAGGTCTCCTCTACTTTATATAGGTTTCTCAGTCCCTAACATTAAGTGACTGGGTTTTGTAAGAGACAGTTGGACGAGTAGAAGACAGGGCTACCATATCATCCCTTACTCTAAATTTCAGATGGAATAAGAAGTCAATGATTAAATTTCAAATAGCTTTCAATTCTCCACATATCTATGTTTAGGACCTGTACAATGATAGGTATGTTATGTTGACAGTTTATGGGGGTAAATTACACTTAGATACTAAAATAGCTGTAACAGATGAAAACATTTTACAATCATGAAAGTGAATACATACTTATATATTAAAATTACAGGAGAGACTAGTGTAGACAAGGAAAGTCCTTCACACTCAAAGTGTATTTGGGAGACATAAAGGTTACTGACATCTTTTGGGCACATTATCTGGTAACAAACCAAAATAGGGATTTTGAATTTTGTGAGAAACTATTTTAAAACAGAATTATCAAAACAACTAAAACGAATATTCCCATCAATATTGCAACCTCAATTTGGTGGTCATCTCAAACTTATATCAGCTTGACTTATGCTGTAACATTACCATCTGCTGCTCAGTCTTTTCTTAGGCTTCATCAACTGCTTAAAATCACACTGTACTTCAGTTGCCCTTGTATTTTAACCACTAGTTTTTGGTAGAGTTTTCAGTTTTCCCCAGACTTTCTGGCTGCCAATTTACTGTCTTCCATCATTCTCTTTTATCATCTTCTTTTCCCTCACCCAGTCATGACTGAGCCTCTCAATCATGTTATGTACACTTATTTGGCATCACCTCCTCTTTTATCCCCATGTAGACTTCCTCAACCTGACTGTTCTCAAAGTGTACTGTATAGCTGTCAGCTTTAAATTTGTTTTCTTTCTTCCCAGAGTTATATTCATTGTGTCCTCACTCCTACATCTTGGTCTACACCTGTTTTACTGAATAACGTTCTTCAATAATTTCCTAATAAAGTACGTTTCATACAAACCTTGCTATTTGAAAACGTCTTTTTATGTTCTCTTAATTTCATTTTATATGTGTTTCAAATTCAAAGTTGGAAATAATTTTCCCTCAGAGCTTCTTCAAAGTACCAGCAAGATGCTGACCTTCTAATATCCAGTATCACAGACAAGAAATCTGATGTTATCGTTTCTGTATGTTCCCAATCTTCATCCTCCCATTCAACCCACCTTTCCAAGGTATACAGTCTTCATTTTAACATGAGTTAAATTTAGTTAGTTCTTTCATTCTGTTTTCCACCCACCCCTATTTACTGCGCTATGGACTTTTCAAACTAAAAATTACTGTCTTTCAGTTCTGGGAAAATGGTTTTCTATTATTTCTTCTATTACTTTCTCTGCTCTGCTGTCTCAGTTCACTCCTCTGAAACTCTCATTTGCTGGAAACTAAACTACCTGATTGATTTTGTATTTTTTTTTTCTCTCAAATTTTGTCTTCTTTCTCTACATTCTGATAATATTTTAATATAAATTTTACTTTTAGTACTTTCACTGAAGTTTAAATTCATATTAGTTATACGGATCAGTGGTCTTCATTTTGGGAGATTTATTCATGCATATAGCATGCTTTGATCATTTCAATCCCTATTACCCCGTACCTTTTCCTTCCCCTTCCTTCCTACTCTCTCCTCTTCTCTAATAGTCCCCCTTCTACTTCCATGTTCTCACTTTCCTTCTCTTTGCCCTTCCGCCCCTTGCCTGAGTCCACATATCAGGGAAAACACACAACACTTGTCTAAGTCCGTCTTATTTTGCCTAATATAATAATTTCTACTTCCATCAGTTTTCCAAAAAATGACCATTTTTTTCTTTGTGGCTAATATTTTCTTTATTCATCTGTTGACAGACACCTAGGTTGATCCTTCAGCTTAGCTATTGTGAACTGGGTCACAATAAACATGGCTGTGCAGGTATCTCTACCATATGTTGAGTTTAATTCTTTCCAAAAAATGCTGAGGAGTGGTATAGCTTGATCAAATGGCATCTCACATTTCAGCTTTTTGAGGAACTTTCATATTTATTTCCATAATGGCTATAATAATTTAAATTCCACCAATAGTGCATCTTTTAGCCCACACCCTTGCCAGTATTTTTTTTCTCCTTGATGTTGCAGTTTGCAGTGAAGCCTCACGTACTCTTAGGTGGAATTTTTCAGAGCTGGCTGGATTAAGGTATTGGTATTGGGATTAAGGGTGTGTGGTACTAAAATTAGTCCACTGAGTGGAAT